TTTTTTTACCAACGACTCGTTAGTACTTACTGTTTCAGAAATTGAAAAGTTTGTGTAAACAAGCGACAAGTGTCTTAATTAGTGACACGGATGGAAGTTGTGAAAAGTTGGTTAGAAGAGATCTACCGCTGGAAAAATTCATCCTGGAAAAGATTATTTGTTAAATTGTTGATTGGAGAGCATGAATTACTTCGTCGCTCGAATTGTCCATCTGTCAGAGATAATAACAAAATTTATCTGTAAATTTACTTGAATTTATCTCGGAAAAAATACAATCATTAATTAGAAAAGATGAATTATCTCGTTATTTAAATTTTCAATATCTTGGACATAGTAATAAAACCTTCCAGTCTATTTCTATTTCTTCTTGCACTTCTTTATAAATTTGCGTGTTTTGTCTGTAGGACAAATTATTAAATTTTTATAAAATATTGCGTCACAATATATAAATACAATGGAAGTGCATTTTTGATTTTACATTATTATCTAGCAGTTTAAAATTTTTTGTCGGTGATATCCATTTTGTTTTAATCTAAAATACTTGTAAAAACATGTATTGTTGATTTTTAACTTCATGATTATGGAAATATCTACCTTGATCGTTGAAAGAAAAATTTCCATTAAAATCATAGAGCTAGGAATCTCACAATTTAAACGTTCAATTAACAAATTAGAGAACAAAGATACAAACTTCTGTTGAAAGATGCTTCACCGTCACTCCGTACCTAATTCTTTCAGTCCACAATCCACGTTTAAACGTCCCCTCTCATCCTGCAATTCCACGAAACGTCTCACGACGTTATAATTAACCCCCGACGGCTGTTCAAAATAATTAAAACCCTCGAATACCCCGTGAAACCGTGTTTGTGTACTCAGACGACGGTCGTGAATTTAAGACGTTGGCAGGGTACACAGCAAACGATCGCGATCGTAATTGACGTTCCCGAGTGTGCAGCTCGAGGAAACGGCTGTCGTTTGGCCACCGTGTTTTCCGGCGAACCCGATCCTCCTCTTTCGCGCGCTAGGTTTATCGAGCTCACGCCGCAAATGGCGGTCGCGTCCTCTCGTTCTCTACGCCGCCTCGGTTTTTCCACTAAACGCTCGTACGTTATCCTCGTATTCCCGGGAAGTCCGATTTCACGCGTTCGAGTAAACAGACCCGCTTTGATGGCCCCTTCTCGCTCGACGAGAAGGCGGACAACCCGATGGCTTTTTATTTGCACGACGATGGCCTGATCGCGTCGCGTGTAGCGAAGGAACCAGTTCCGACGTGTAATTTCGGACGGTCGGGAACGTTTCTCGCGCCTTTGCACCGGTGATTGAAAAGCGTTTCTTGGTATCGTGCCACGGTGTATCGCAATTATCGCCGAGGCGTCGTTCCTGGAGAAAAATACGACGTGGCCCACGGGAGTGTGCACCACGCCCTTCCCCCTGTCTCGTAATCACGCGCCAGTTGGTTAGAGGCCGTTCGAAACGTGTAATGAACCGCTCGATGAACCGCGCCCGGCCGAAAATAACGGCGCGAAACTCGCAGATATCATCTGACGATGGCTGACAGCCAGGCGAAAACAGATGGTGAACTTGCCACCACTGGGCACTGCGTGCTGCTTTCGGTGTATTATACTGCTCGTCAAGTATAATATTGTTCCTTTCTTCTTTCTTCATTTTGATACTTGTATAGATGGTTGTGGTTCAAGTACGTCTAAGTGTGTTTAATCACTTGCGTTAAGATTACGTGTACGAGTCTCGTTTAGAAGTTTCGAGCACCATCTTTTCTTTAACGTATAACAGTTCATACATTGATGTATCAATAGTAGCTTATTAATAAAGTAACTTATTAATAAAGAGAAACGAAGGGGGGAGGGGAAGAAGAACGTGATTAAATTCCGAGACTTTCACAAACAGGGACAAACAGAGATGTAGAAACTAATAGCCATAGCGCGCGATGAATAGAAACATGCTAACAATTTGGCCAGAATACAACCATAAGCGAGCACAAAGGAATGCGTTCAAATTAATATTATGATTATTCAGAGCAATTAAAGCGTTCGAGTGGTAATCACACCCTCCTCAGGGCGAAAATACGCGCGGAACGAATACGAACGTGTATATAATCAAAGCAATTTCCTTTGTTTGCAGCACAATGCATCGCACCCCTGGGGATGGAATCTGGTGCGATTCCCGATGCAGACATCACAGCGAGTTCGAGTTTCGATAGCGGAAACGTCGGGCCGCATCACGGACGGTGAGTGAATTACCGTGTATTACTGTCTCGTTTATACAGCACATTATGCAGATGCGATGCAATACACATTCGGAAATATGATAAAATTAACCCCTTTGTGCGCTGCGCCCGGGGCAGAGATGCAATTCTCCGAAATCAGTACGCTTCGTTAGCCGATATATTCGGGGGTGAATTGCCAGCGATCTACGCGGCGAAAGATTTTGTTTCACGGCAAAATTACTTTTTTTCTTTTTCTTTTTTTGTTATTTTACGCTCACGCGAAGCTCGACTATTGCAAATTGAGGAAATTTGGTTGATAGGTTTGAATTTCTCTTCCAAGAGAATTGGCTAATTTCTTTTGTCCAAACAGGAGAATAACGATCTTCAGAATTTTTCGTTTGCTTTCAATTAATCTCGGAATTATTTTTTTTTTTAGAAAGAATTTTCAATTTTCGTAGAATCGGTAAGTAAGGCTTCTATGTACAAACTATCAGCAGAAACTAAAGTAAAATATAATTATTCCGCGAATATCCTATTTTAGAAATCAAACTGCAACAATTCTGCCTCGACCATCTCATCTGCTTTTCCAGTCCCACTCTGAACCATTCCAGAAACTGTCACCTAAATACTTTATTATCAATTGCCGTTCTCCGAAATCTCTGTCTGAGACCGATCGGACATAATTCACTCTGAAATTTGTCAGCGAGATAAATAATATCGGTGCGTTCTTTCCCGAACGGAGAAGGATTTATCAAGCGGGGTTGACGGACGGTTTAAAACGCGATGCAGATTGATGCGCGAGCGCGATTGTGCGGCGGCGGCGGCGGCGGCGGCGGCGGCGGAGGAGGAGGAAAATGTTTGACGACAGAAAAAGAAAACGAATCGGGGACGGCTCGTGCGGCACGATAACATTTCTGACTCTGAATGCTTTCTACGGCTTAAACGGATGATCCTCTTCCTGTCCGTCATCCTGTCCACGGCCGAGATAGCTCACGATCGAGACTCGAGACGACCCCGGTCACCGTATTAATCACCGACTACTAAACTGCACGTCTAATTCGGCCTTCAAGCCGCAATGAGGATTAATGACGCGGGATGTCCCGCATGCACGGCCATTTGTATCGAACGTTCCGAAGCTCTTAGGCATCGTTAACGTGGACTTCGCGTATTCCTTTGATTATACGTGCCAGCTAATTACCATTCCAAAGAGAGGATTCCACGCGGTGTCACGTTCAACGAGATGATATAGACAGAATGCCCGAATTACGATGCCCCGGGACGAGGACCACCGGCGGCGTTAACGAACCGAGACCGCGCGAATCGTTTACCGCTTTACGAGAATTTTAACGATCGGCAACGTCCTCCGCAATCGTTGTCCAACTGCGAAGGGTAAATTTTCTAAATTTGAAAATCTCGAGAACGCTAATATAAGACAGGTATCAGAGTCACTAATATAAAAATATTGAAGCTATAAAAATATTGTTGTATTTAATTAGTAAAGGAATTCATGATTATATAGGATTATAAAGAGATTGAAAATTGCATTCTCAAGATGAAAAAAATAAATACGAAGTAATGAAATATTTACACTTTCTAAAAGTATTTAAATATAGCTAATACAGACTGACTGAAGTTCATGAGTAAAATATCAAAATATCATGGAGTTTCCAAGAGAGAGAGAGAGAGAGAGAGAGAGAGAGAGAGAGAGAGGAAAGAGGCAGAAATTGAATTCTTAAAAGAGAGGAAAAAGAACAAAAGTTCGTAACCTCTGAAAGTATTCAAACATTCGAATTTTATAGCTAATGCAGACTGACAAAATATCACAATAACAACAAATGAGATTCTGATGAAAGAGACGAAGAGTTGTTGAAAACGAAAAAGGACGTTGCTAATTTTGTCTGTTTTATGCACATTCTATTCAAAGAAGAAATATTTTATTAACACGAGCGACATTTACGAACTTCTTTGATAGCAATGGGTGGTCCCTGGCTTTTAAGCGTCACCGTAGAATTCAGAGAAACACGATGAGGAGGCGTGAACATGTTTATGGTCCGGGGAATTTCGTTGAAAAGCTGCATTAATGCCGGTACGATAATTGGAAGTTTAACCTGTAAGAAGGTATCGCGACGTTTCCCTTTTCTCTTTCTCTCCCCCGTCCTTCCCCCATTTTTCTTTTTCTTTTTTTTTTCTTTTTTTCTTTTCGGCCACGATATAAAGCAAGGAAAGCCTTTTCGATGCAATACCGATATCGTCGCTTGTGCACACACTCTTTACCGATGGAGACCGTCTAGACCTTCTTCAACGGCACTTCCATGGCTTCCTGATACTACGGGCTTCCCGGTGAATACCCTATTTGCCCCATACGACTCCCGTTTACCCTAAAATACGCGAATCTAACTCGTATTACGTGTACATGGCTCGCCTCTTTCGCGACGTACTCTCGTGAAACGTAAGTACATTTCGTTCTCGAATATTTCCACATCGCGGACTCCTCCATTTTCCATATTCGCAGGAATTCTTACAACGTTCGACTTCCTTATGGGAGAATTATCGGATGAAGAAGTGAGTGTACGTACGGTTTAAGAAAATCTTTATCGTACCGTTGCAGGCGTGTCGTATGCAGATATATATTTTTTGTCTTCGTAATTATTAAATTCGTTTTCATTTACAATTCCATTCATAACATTTCCATTTATATTTATTCCATTTATATGACAAGTTTCCATTTATAATTATAATGAGATGTTATATTTTTAATAAACAAAGTATCGAGTTTCATTGTTAAAATATTATAGAGCGTATATTGTGCATTGTTATGGACGATTAATTATTTAAATTTAATAACGCGAGGATATGAATACTTCTGTAATTCAGATAATGTTCCTCAATTCTCTTAATTAAACTCGAACTAATTTGTCAATCAACACCTGCCGATCTGCTGCTCATTTATTGTTAGAATGACATCAGCGAGAATCACTTGAAATTCATCTCGTAATATATTTCTTCTACAATTCCCAAGATTGTTTCATTTCTGGAGAACCAAGTAACAACTGGACGAAAGCTAGAAGATGTCTTTTCTACTCGAGAGGAATAATCCAGGACGAGAAGAGAGTTAAATACGCCAGCGTACACACTCTCCTTTCATCCACTCAGGGCGAAAGGGGCGCGCTATGCGTCGCGTAGTATGTACGAAAACGTAACCCAAAGCCCTGCTCGCTTGCCGAGAGCAAACAACAACAAAAAAGCCAAAGGAAACTGGTAAACTTCGCGAGGAACTGAAAAAAGAAATCCGACGCGTGTAAATAAGAGAGCGAGCACAGGCTCCCAGCATCCGACGAGTACCCGTCGTTTGTCTTCGCGTTCGCGTGGCCGCTCGAGCACAACCTCGGCTCCGGGTCCACGGTCGACACGTTCACGGAAGAACGTTTTCATCGTGTCGCAGCGCGTGATCGCTGGACGAAAGGACCAGCAACGGAAGCTGCTTTCTTCCCACTCTTTCTGCCGGCAGCGACAAATCATCCGAGAAGTGTCTCGCCGTTGTTGGCTCGGGTTCGGCGAACCATTTCTCTCGATAATCGGGCCCGTTCGTCTCGGTGGTATCGCGCTTTCGACGACTCCGCCGACCCGGCTCGGAAACGTCGTTCACGCTCGCGGCTGAAAGTCCGCGCGATCGTCCGCTCCGGAGATTTATCGCGGTGGCCGGGTGGCACGAGCGAGGCCGCGGAATGCCTTTGATGCTCTGGACTGTATCAAAGTGGCAGCCAAGGCAGTTCGAGCTCACTTAATGGGCTATGAGTTATGGTCTTTCGCTGCGCTGTATGTATCCTGCCTCTCTCCCGCGCCTACCCTCCGCGTCTTTCTATTTACCTTGCTGATCCTTCTCTTTCCTTGCCATCTTCGCCTGTTCGTTCGCCCTTCTCGCCGTCAGCGTGCTCGGTTTCTTCTTTTCCACCACGTGCATTCACTCTTCTAGTTCTAGTTCTCCCCCACTCGTTCACTCTTTCAGGGACAAGGCCGCTTTTACCAGGGCTCCGTGTCAAAGTAACGCTTCGAATTCTGACGGAGCAGAGAGGCTGCCACGCCAGCATCACCTCTTTATTGCGAATACTTTCGACGACGTGTATAACCCTGGACCCCGGCGAATTCGTTCGGCTCGGCCTACTACTACCACTCTTTCTCTCTTTCTCTTTTTCTTTCTCTGCTCCAGCCGTGTTCGAGACGCGATGCTGGCGGGCGGCTTCTTTGCGCTCTTTGGGGCGGCGATGTTCGAAAGTAATCTTGGCCGGAGAGGGCCGTGTGCAGTTTTCGTTTTTCTTTCCTTTTTCTCTCTCTCTCTCTCTCTCTCTCTCTTTTTTTTATTGTTGAAATTGAGTTTCAAAGTGACTAGCAAGGGGACGTGTTTGTTGCCACGCATCAAAGGTGAAACGCGAAGGCAAGAGTTCGATTTTCGGGAAGAAGTAGCTTCGAGGGTAAACTTGTAGTTACTTTCGCAAGTAACGTAGTCTGCGAGAAATGCAGGGAATTGAACAACTTCTTTTTTTTTAGCCCAATATATTCTTGTATCGAAGGAGAAATAAGTATTTCTTTGAAATATAACACAAGTTTTCACACGTCGAAGAATTTCATGTTAAAATATTTTAAGGAAACGATTATTCTCTCGAGGTGTAGAATGATTTTTGAGTTCTTGAAGAACTTTATCTTCTGTAAGAAAGTTTCCCAAAGAAACGAATGTGAAGTAGTTTTTTAGTAGAATGGTGGAATCTGAAAGTTCTCGATGCGTTCTAATTGTAATTTCACGTAAAAAAGTTCAAGAACTTGGCGGAAAGTGAGGCATTCGACAAACAAATACTGAAACTCTACTTTTAGTGAAGTGTAAAATAAAGAAATTATACCAACGTATAAACAGTTGCTGATGTAGTATTCTTCTTCAGAGTCGAAACAAGAGAAAGCCAATTATTAATAATCTTGAAAGAAAATAATCTCTTATATCTATAATATTTTAATCTTCTATAATCATAGTTAAATTATTAATTAAGTTAATATTTTGTATATAATTTATTTATATATATATATATTTATAAATGAATAATAAAGTTAATAAAATGGGGAATAATTAAATAGGGGGAATTAAAATTAATAATGATAAATCAATAACGCACGAATAATACATAAAGTATTCGAAAGCAAATTTTTCAATTCCTCGTCTCTGTCTCGATCTCACCGCGAATAAGAATACAAATTCTTTATAAAAAAAAATATTATGTAAATTCCGTACAAGACGAACTGACGACAATTAAGTAACGAAATCAACGACAGTCGTCAAGTGAGACGTTTCTAATCGAACGCGAGTACACGTACTCTCCGGATTCCTTTCGTTTCTCCTAGCGATCGAATCGGTGCCAGCATTCCTCCGGCTGGGCGTGTTTTCCCGCGACAATCGCGCGGGATCGTCTACGGACGAAAGTAAAGGGAGATTTTTAATGCCGCGGACGAAAGGTATGTGCGAATACAATTATTAGCCGGCTCTCGGAAGAGTGGCTTCCCCGTTCTCCGCGCCGGTAGCCAGCTCATCTTTAATTCATGCCATCCGGTGGCTCCGGCTCGATCGATAAATTATAATTTCACCCCGGTATCGGGGACCTGGCAGAGGTGACGGTTATCCGTCAGCCACCGGCTGGATCACGTATTTATACGATTTCCTTTCCCCCGTCGATGTAACGTTTCCGATTATACCGTCATATCCTCTCTTTGCCTACCGCCTTATCGGCTGATTCTTATCGGCACGTCAATTGCCGACGTCCGCGCACGATCGCGACGAAAAGGCGTCGTGAATATGTACGACGTACATACGCGCGTACGCGGCGACTCGATTCGCAGTAATTGCCGCGACTTTGCGAAAACTCGTCAGGCAATCAGCAACCGGTGAACGTTATTTCGCTTGAAACGGCTGGGTGTCTCAGACGTGCGAAACGTTTTGCACGTGTGTCACAATCGTTTACGCGTACCGCTGTTTTTCTTTTATCGAGGCTTGGAAGTTTATCGGTTCGTGGCCTGCAGTGCTTTCTTAAGTAGAATGTTTATGGATATTGCACGAGTGTCTACGTTAGCGCGTTCTTGTTGGATTTCTTAAAAGTTGAAAGTTTATGGATTCGCGGTAGCTGTTTAAGACCTCGTCTTACAGCGTCGGGTATCTCCTTTGGCTCGATTCGAATTGGAAAGCGAATTCTTGTCTGACGAGGTTTGAAATTTCAATTCTTCGAATTGAAGATTAACAAATACGAGTTATATATGAGTTTCACTAAGACAATCGTAGGGCAGGGGATTGAAAAGAATGTTTAACATTTGTGAACGTCATACGTTAGTCTTATTCTTTGAAACCGAAGAATTTACTTTACCTTTGAAAAAATAATGATTATAAATATCACAACCAGCTGCATACGCTCATTCCATGTTTGTTAAATTTCAAAATTTGATTTACAAAAGAATATTTAGCATTCGTGAATGTCACGATTATTCGCATATTTTATAACATGAGAAAATATCAGAAGCATCTGCATATGTTCCATTTTTTCCAAATTTAACAATTCGTGCTTGTTTACGAATGTCAGAATTATCCGCGTGTTAGTCTTTTTTTTTAGAAATTTGAGAATTTACGAACTCGTAGCTGTTTTTTTTTTTTTTTTTTTTTGTTTTAAGTTTATGGATTTACGAATATCAGAAGTACTTGCCGTACATTTATTCCGTATTTTTCTTTTTTAAATTTAAAAAATTGTTGGCTCGTTGGTTGTTGTTTAAAAAAGATATTTAATATTTGCGTACGTCGCAATCACTCAAACGTTATGTTTATTTTCTGAAATTTGAGAATTTATAGGCTCGTGGTTGTTTTTTCTCGTCTTTTTTAATTTAAAACTGTACGCACTCGTGGTTATTATTTAAAAGAAATATATTCAATAAATACATATCACGCTTGTTTACTTTCTAAAAAAATCTATGCGTATCACGATCTGTACACATTATTCTTATTCCAATAAAACATGGAAATTTTCCAATTCCTGGTTTTCGTCGAAAAAGAGAAAGAAAAAAAGAGGAAAAAGAAAGAGATTAAACCGGGTGGAAAGTGGCACGTAGAATCGTTCAAATATCAATTACGCTGCTTAAACACTCCGACGCGTCGTTCCTCCGTGTACATAGCCCATATTCGTCGCACGAAAATTAAGTTACACACACCGAAATCCCCAACGGGAGGCCTAGAAAAATTTCCATGTTTTCCTACAATCTGCGTTGGCCGCAGGAAAATGATTCAACGTTCTCGTTTCTCTGGACTGAAACGGAAAAAAAAGAAAAGAGAGAGAAAAAAAAATCTTTGGAAATCTCTATTTTCGAGAGAAAGAGGGACGCGACAGAAAGAGAAAAAAAAAAGAGAGAAAAGACACGAAGAAGAGATAGAATACCGGTAATCTCAGTGTAAATATTTACCCTTGCAGGCTGAGGCAAGAGAGCCACGGAGGTGCCTGGTGCCCGAAGCAGCAGATCACGACGGAACCGCGCGAGTGGTTGGAAATCGATCTTCACACGGTCCACATGATCACCGCCACCGGCACTCAGGGACGCTTCGGCAACGGCCAAGGCGTCGAATACTCGGAGGCGTACATGTTGGAGTACTGGAGGCCGAAGCTCGGCAAGTGGGTTCGATACAGGGACGTTCGGGGCGAGGAGGTAAGTAATCGTCGTCGTCGTCGTCGTCGTCGTCGTCGTCGTCTCAAAGGTGTCGCGATAATTGACCAGGCTTACCAGTTACCGGCAGTCTACCGAAGGTGTCGATTGCGACTTCTATCTGGGCGAGTACCTAAGTAGCTTTCCGCGGGAAGTATCGAGCCTTAAACAGAGGAAGGAGAGAGAATCTTTCTCGTTATAAACTGTCGCGCATTGTCGGAAGTCGGGGATCGTACAGTTGTTAGCCGCGCGGTTCCAGGCAAGCTGATCGATCAGACGCACGAGTAGAATTGACGTTGAGTCGAGTCGAGTCGAGTCGAGTTTACGGCGTGACGTTCGTCGTCTGACAGGAAATAGAGATATCTACTTAAATCGAGATAGACGAACGCACGAGTCCCCGTTCAAATTCGCGTGTTTCGAAGAAATTGATAGGATACATTTATGACGTACGTGAATTTTATTTGAAGTTTAAAGGCCTAGTCTGTTATATGTACTTGGGTATCTAAGGTTATTTTATTCTCCATTATCTGGCCCTTTCTGTTCTCTACTAATGCATTCTGACTAATGTTCAAAGGAAAAAACTAGCTCGATTTCAAACAGACGACAGAGAAGACTTATTACTGTCATATTGTCCGCGAGCTTATCAATTATAAACGATATATGTATTACGTTTCTTTCATTAAAAAAAGAAAAAAAAGAAGCTTGTACTTTTATTTTATTCGAGGCAAAGGAATTCTCGATCGTTAATGGCAATTCTACTGAATATTAGATATGAAACGGGTCACTGTCCTCAGATGTAAAGCTATCTAACATAAACGAACAGAAATTCTACATATCTACAGTACTAAAAATCTTTACTCGTCACGTTTGTTGGAAAGCGATGGACAAGTGAAGCAACAACAGATTCGCAATAAAATATCTAAAAATATAAAAAAATGAAAACATTTGAAAAGCATTCGATTCGTACAATTGTGCCAATTCTTCTGGCCAAAGCCAATTTTTTCTCATCGCAATTTGAACGAGAAAGGGAACGGAGCCCGATCGTTTCTGAAATTTTCAGGCTCGCCAGTAAACGCGTAAGTAAGAGAGGCACGAGAGGTCGGTTAACGATCGATACGCGTGTGTTTAGCATTCGCGGTCGTGGGAGAGCGGCGCGCACGGCACACAAGAGGCGCATAATTCAATTCAATTAACCGGTGGCAACAATTCAGCGGCGGGCCAGATCGGCGCGAGAGGTCGCGCGTAAGCGGAATCGCGGCGGTTAAATTTAGTCTGCTTGCGGGGTTATGCGCGTAAAACGAGCAGAGCACCGTGGATTATTGGGAATGATTTGTGGCGGGTTGTCCGCGCAGGGTCCGCGTGCAGACAGTGGCGACCGGGCCCCGGTAACTAAACCGTGACGTTAACAAGACGTAAATCTCGGGCGCAATATGCACCGTCTCAAAAGTGGCGCGCGGCTCCGCTTCGATGGCAATTTACTGGAATAAATCGGTAACCGTGAACTCGCGCCACTTTAATTAGCAACCGGCAACAATAGGGGCAACAATAGTCGTTCATTTATTACTACGCGCGTACGTCTTCTACTCGCGCCGAGAATCCGACGAATTCGAGGCAGAGAAAACGGGTTGACGTCGATGAATGAACTGTCCTTCGCGCGCACCGACCACGCGTTCGCCAAGAATTCCCGACCGTCGCGTTGACGTGGGTGTTATAAGTTTTGCGCCGCGTATTATATTCGCCGGATGCTTGAGATTTTTTCCAACATCGGAGAAAGATACTCTCTCTCGAGTTCCACGCGAGAATGCAACGCGTTTTTGGTCGTTGAATCTCTTTTTCCGTCCAGTAGAAGTATATCATAAAGAAATGTGCGTTAGACTTAATTAATTTTACTGAAAATACGGTTTAGCCCAGCACTGTGACGAGAAGTGTCCTGTTCGAAAGTGTTTGGGAGTATTTGAGTCACTCGGTTTATATTACATTAAAATATGAGTATTTAATTTTATCTTAGAATCTCCCTAGAAATTAATGTAAAAGTTTAGTTATTGTTTCCAATATCCAACGACGCCGGTTAAAAGTTAGTACAATTGTTAATATATTAATATTTTATTGATTCTTATTAACTGAGTGCCAAATATAATTAATGATAAATTGTTCTAAGATTTTTGACTGAGAATATGCGCACGTAATGTGAAAGAAGGAACGAAAAAGTTCATCACACTTTAGCTAGAAATTGTCCACGTCAAGAAAATTGAAAATAAATTTTTTAATCTTCGCAAGTGATGAATGTGGCGAAAGATCGACAAGTCCGAAAGATTGACGACTTTGGAAACGAGGCGACTCTTGTACGAGTTACCCAAGTAACCGAATCCATCATTCCACATCCTCGCAAAGGAACATCTGACCTCCGTCGAAGACCAAGTAGCCGAAGTTGCGAAGAGTTAGTTACGATAACCTACTGCAACGTTGGCTACGGAATAAATATAAATCACTTAGAACTTACTGACATTGTTTTCAGTCGCATCGCGCGATTTATCATTGCCTGGTGGAAACTAGCGGAAAAAGGAATGGCCAGCTGGGAGAGAACTCTCTCTCTCTCTCTCTGGTGGAGAACTTGCCCTGTTTCGTGATACGTGTTTGTCCCGAGAAGCGACGCGGGAACCAATATAAGTCATTTCGTCGACGATGACGTTATTTATTTTCCAGCCGCGTGTTTTTGTTTTATTTGCGGACGTTCGTTTCGATGGCGAACGATCCTCGAGAACAGAAAATGGATGGAAAGCAAGGAAATAAAAAGAGAGAAAGAGGGAGAGAATAAAAAAAAAGAATAAAAAAACGAAAAGGAAGAAAAGAAAGAAGGAGGTGAACGTCCAGTTGACGAGGTGGATTTCCTTGGAAGTTAGTACGTAGAGAGGGTGCTTCGAGCTTATTTGTATAGGAGGGTGGATCAATAAAACGAGGGAAGGGAAAGTCGTCGCGTGCTTGCTCGCGGGTCAGACGATTTCGACTCACCTACATAGGCTTGTACATGGCTTGAATAGTCGAGGTCGATCGAACCTAGCGAGCCGCACATCGCACGAAGGTCGAACTCGACGAAATTTAACCACCCTTATTCAAGCATCGCGACTCCATTTACATGCGGTAGTGAAATAACATTCTCCAGGCAGCGAGGTTATTTCCCCCTTCGCGGGAAAAAAGAACTTTCTAGCACGCACTTTCTTCTCGTTAATCAGGGCTGTTAGAAAAGGTTGTTAGTGAAAGTGTTTATTCGGAGAAAAACTACTGTTCCTCCGTGCTGGCCAAGCTCTTTTCCCTTCGAACTTTCTGCTTTCGTTACGATATAATGATAGATCTATTTCGAGTTTCTAATGTTATGTAACGAATAATTGTGATATTAGGTATGTTGATCCTTGTTACTTGTACCGACTGATATAGCGATCATTGACAGTTGATAGTACTAAAATTTATTAATTAATTTAATGTTAAATTTGACGTCGATTGCCATTCATTGCAATTCATTGATAAATATTTTGGTGAATACGATATCATTTTTTCAAGTGATCCGCAACAAGTTTGTTTCGAACATGTTTGTACAGGAAATTACTCAAATTACACTGTGAAAATTATGAGTAGGTGGCAACGTACTAGTACAACATAATAATTGATAATTTTCTTCTGAGCATCTTTTTAAAATTTGTCTGCAGTCGCGAAAGTATCGAATTGTCTAAATCGAACATATAACGTTTTACTTCCAGAATATTAATTAAAATCCTCAGCCATACGGAAGTCAACGTAATTTCAAAAATATTAATCAATCATTTTAATTTCTACAATTAAATTTCACTCGACAACCGGTAGATATATCAACATACTTAGAAATTCAATGTTAATCTTTACGAAGAGGAAACCAACGATAAGACAACTTAACCGCAATGTCTCCGATTACTCTTTCCTCGATTAGTGCTTCACAGCCAACGAAATTTACTTCCACGAAGATCGGTTGTAAATTACGGTCATCAGGACACCCGCTGATTCTCGCTTTCGTTTAATCCGCGCCATAAAACAGTTTAATTAGGCGCGGCCGGCACGAGAGGATCGCAAACAAACCAGGAAACCGGTTGAAAAAAAGGAAACCGCGTATCGATGACGTTGGTTCTTCGTGGAAGCGCGCTGCCATGGAGAAAGAGAGTCGCTCGGAGCGAGATTCGTTAGAACCTGTCCGAAACGAAACGGCCCACCCAAACGAAACTCCGCGCGATTACCGGGAATAAATCTGCAGAAATTCGTGTCTCTTTCGTGCCTGCTGCGAGGGTCCTCTGTTCTCCCCGCTTAATTACACAACGACACTCGGCTTATCCGACGAATAATCTCTCGGTAACAGCTCGGCCAGGACCAGGCAACGTCGGTGGTACGAACATGGCGCGCGCTTGTCAACGACTCGACCACTTTTGCAGCCCGTCCGAATGGTACGCGAGGGGGAAAAAAAAAAAAGACGAAAAACTGTCGGGGACGCGTCTAATATTTTTCAACGACCGCATTTGGCACGACGGAGATAGCGAAACGAGCATAAATTACCTCGTTGATCCCTCGCACAAACTTGTTGGCTGTCTGGCCGAGCTATGACTCGTTCCCGTGAAATATCGGTAGTTTTTGTTTTCCGATGAAACTTCACGCGTCGATTTGTCATAATAGGTGACATGATCGACGAATGGGAGTTATTGTACACTTTCACGAGAAAACAAGAGATGGTCAAGAATGAGTTCTCGTTCGCGGATGAGTCACGAAGTTTCGATCGTATATCTTAATGAGCTAAGAAGCATCGTCTCGTTTCAAAATTAACAGGATTAAGGGTCTGAATATTTCAAGCGCGTGTATATTAGAAAATATTGATGCGGGCTTACAGATACTTCTGAAAGGGACAAACAGGTTTTACGAACACACTCCGGCTGGGACACTTTTTATTTTCGATAGTCGGACCGACTGAATCGGTATTTGTCTCGTGAATG